AAAAAAAAAAAAAAGAAAACTTGATATTATTCTTTTCTTTATCTTTAACCCTATCCATGTGTGTGCATGTACCTTGTCTGCTTGAAGTGTGTGGAAATTTTTACTTGTGTGTGTTTTTTTTTTCTTTCTTTTTTTTTTTACCTTACTTCTATATGGAATAAACTTACCTGCAGTTACCCATGTCATTACAATCATGTTTTTTTCTTTTCTTTTTTTTTTTTCTTCTTCTTTCTCTACTTTAATAGAGAACACGGCTGGTCATCTACGGACGACGTGCCTTTGTGTGTGTTTTTTTTTTCTTTTCTTACTCCACCACGAGAGAACCCAACAAACGTAACTAAAACAAAGAAATAAAGAGTCTGAGACTCTCTCTATATATATACATATGTCTTCCACGACTGAACTGCGTGCGCAAATTGATGCGTTGGCGCAGGAGATTACGCGAGTAAAGAAAGAAAAGGGCGCCGCCAGTGAAGAGTGCAAGGCGCTCGTTGCTCAAATGGCAAAACTCCGCCAGTCACTCCCACAGGACGACGCAAAGAAGAAGAAGAATAACGCGGAAAACAATGATAATAACAAGAATAATAAAAAGACAGCGGAACCAAGTTATTTTGAGTCTCGATTGGCGATGGTGAATTCCATGGGACTTCTCGGTGCTGCCTATCCACACAAGTTTCATCGTGACTACACCATTCCCGCATTTAAAGCCAAATTCGCACCAAAACTACACGAGAATGGAGAAAGATGCACAGAAGTGGTAACGATTGCGGGTCGTATTATCAACAAACGCAGTTCCGGCTCTAAACTGCACTTTATCACTTTACAAGGCGATATGGAGGTGGTGCAGGTCATTTCCACTATGGGAGACTATGTGAATGATGGATTTGCCGATATTCATGCAAAGATTAAGCGTGGAGATATTATTGGTGTGAAGGGTGTGGCTTCACTTTCCAAGACAGGTGAGTTTTCCATGAGTGCGATGGAGATTACATTACTCTCCACCTGTTTCCACATGTTACCAGATGACTGGTATGGTTTAAGTTCCGTGGAACAGCGTTTCCGTCAACGTTATTTGGATCTTATTGTCAATCGTGAAAATGCGAATGTTTTTATTCTTCGTTCTAAAATTATAAAATACATTCGAAAGTTCTTTGATGATTTGGATTTTCTTGAGGTGGAAACACCAACGTTAAATCTCATTGCTGGAGGTGCCGCCGCTCGTCCGTTTATTACCCATCACAATGAACTCAATCAGAAGATGTATCTCCGTATTGCTCCTGAGTTGTACTTGAAGGAACTTGTGGTGGGAGGACTGGACAGAGTGTATGAACTTGGCAAACAATTCCGAAATGAGGGAATTGATCTCACACACAACCCTGAGTTTACCAGCATTGAGGCCTATTGGGCATACATGGATTATAATGATTGGATGAATACAACGGAGGAACTTCTCTATGGTCTCGCTATGCATATTCACGGTTCTCCCCTCGTCAAGTACGCCCCACGGGACTCCGAAGGCAATAAACTCCCAGAAGTGGTATTTAACTTCAACAAACCCTTTAAACGTCTTCATATTGTCCCGGAGTTGGAAAAACGATTGAATGTTAAGTTCCCCGCAGAATTTGAAAGTGCTGAAGCCAACACCTTCTTCATGGACCTCTGTAAAAAGCATAAGGTGGAATGTAATCCTCCTTTTACCACCACACGCCTGTTGGATGCCCTCATCGCACATTATCTTGAACCCGAATGTCATGATCCGACATTTGTGTGTGATCATCCACGCATTATGTCTCCACTTGCCAAATGGCACCGTAATGATCCTCGTCTAACTGAACGCTTTGAACTGTTTATTAACAAGAAGGAAATCTGTAATGCCTACACAGAGCTCAACAATCCCATTGTGCAACGGGAGGAGTTTAAGAAACAACTTAGAGATCGTGAAAAGGGTGATGATGAGGCTATGGATATTGATGAGAGTTTTATTCAAGCGCTTGAACATGCACTTCCTCCAACAGGTGGTTGGGGTATGGGCGTTGACCGTCTCGTGATGTATCTCACCAGTCAGTCAAACATCAAGGAAGTACTCCTCTTCCCAGCAATGAAGCCTGAAACTGCAAGTTCCCTTTCCTATCCTCCGGGAACATTACTGAATGGACAGGGAGTACCGTTGCTTCATTAACCAAGAAACGAAAAGAACAAAAAAACAAACAAACAAACAAACAAACCATAATAAACAATAAAGGATAAAAGAAAAAAAAACAAAAAAACAAAGGTAACATGCAAAAATTGCGTAAACTTACAAAAAAAAAAAAATAAAATAAAATTGATGTCTACGTATATATCCGCGTATATATCGTACCGACAAGAAACACCATTACCTAAGTGCGATCAAGTTTCAATACCTATTCGATTTTTAATTATAACAAAATAAATAAAAAAATAATTATATACGTAAACTTCGCAAAAAAAAAAAAAAAAAAAAAATTGACAACCATAAAACTCATCTAATCTAGTATTTTCTCTTTTTTTCCCTACTCTTTTTCTCACAAGAAAACAAGAAAAATACATAAAATAAGCAAAACTTTATTTCAAATACATAACGTCTCATACAGAAATAATCAGGTACAACTTTATCACTTCCAAAAAAAAAAAAAAAGCCAGGGCAGAGATAT